GGGAGATGGTGCTTGGCTGAGTGGTCTGGGGGGTAGGGAGCCACGACAGGGGGGGGGGGGCAGCCCCCAAGCCTCGTCCTCTGGGCCCACAAGAAACCCAGATTTACCCCACGTTACTCTCAGCAGCGAGCAGAGCCAGGCTTTGAGCAGGGAGCGCTTTCTGCTCTTGTCACTTCCCCTGGGACCTCCTGCCACCCCCGGAGGGTAACACGGTGACAGACGGAGCCGGGCATCGCACCACCCTCCCCAGCACACTGCACACTGCAGGGCAGAGCTGCAAGGAGAGGCCACGGCCACGGTGCTCCCAGGGAAACCACGCTCACTTGGCTCCTGCCCGCTCAGCAGTGTCACCCCGACACCCCAGAGCAGCTGGGATCCCCCCCGGTACCTGCCGCAGGCGGGGGGCCATGCTTCTCTTCTATCAGCGGTGCCGAGGGGCCTCCCGGGTAGGGTGGCGGAGGGTCGCTGGACATGGCTCAGGGCGGCCCTGCAAGGACAGAAGCCTTTAGAAGAGACACCAGCCTTTGGCTGCACACAGGCACCCGTCCAGAGCTGCGTGGTGCTTGGGGAAGGAGGCAGCAGGTAACGGAGGGGTCCGGGGCTGGCACCACCGCTGTGCTGGCCTCAGCCCCCCGCCACGGGCAGAAACAAGGCCATGGCCCCAAAGCTGGACAGGGCTTCAACCCAGGCAGCAAATCCAAGGTGTAACATCTTCCTGCCGGCTCCGCAGGGCTTTCCCCTTAACGCCCACGCATGGTGCAACAGCAGCTCATCGGTGCGGCTCTCAGCTGCATTGCCCACGTGCTGGGGCAGTACTGGGCTGGAAGCTGCTCTGCCAAGCGCCTCGGCTGCAGCGTTATGGGACCAAAGATGGGGAAGAGCTGCCCACGTTGCCCACGGCCCCCCCAGCTCCACCCAGCAGAGTGATATGCAACGCTGCGCCCTGAGGGGATGGCAGGACCCCAAGCCTGAAGCACAAACTCTGAGGTGGAGGGCGCAAACCCACAGAGCGCATCTCTGAATACTCTCATCGAGTGAGTTAAGGTGAAACCATCTTTAACAGCTGGAGACATTATTTTACCTGGGGTAGAATTTACCTGTCCTCTTCCTTGCAGCAAGGAGCTCAGAGGCCTCGACAGAGCTGAGAAGAACAATTCTTCTGCGCAGCGTATTTTGGAAGCTGTCTTACCCCACCCAATCTGTGTGAAAGGAGACAGCAAGAGAGTTACAGCGATGGAGAGGAGCCACTGCTACAGCGCTGCCTTGGCCGCCCCGCCAAGCCCCCTCCCCTCCCTGGTGCAGGCGTGGGGAGAGCGGGTCCGGGCAGGAACCTCCCCACGTGAGCCCCCTCAATGGCAGGCACGAGGCTACGTGTCCTCGGCACATGGAAAAGCCCCACCGACATGCTCTGAACACCAAGGAAGTGCAACGGCATCAAGAAACCTGCTTTCCCTGTTTACTCTGGCTCAGTTATATCTGGTAGGACGTGACTAAATTGGGAAATACAAATGAGAGGCTGTTCACTCGGTGCTTGGGAAGGCTGCCATCAGGCATGGGACACGGTGACATTGCTGTCAGTGCCCGGGGAGCAGCGCTAGGAGCTCCCCTCGGGGTCTGAGCACAGCTACCCGAACCCCCCACATCCTTCATCCCCGAAGGGCCAGGAGCAAATGTGACCCTGCTTGTCTCGTTTCCCTTGGTCTCCTGCTCTCCTCGAGGCAGGTCAGCCTGCTGCGAGGACGGTGCTTTCTCAGCCGGTCCCACAGGTCCCATTCCAGCAGCCCCCGACTGAGCAGGAAAAACGCACCCAGGCTATGACCAGCCTGCAAAAATCCCACAGGCACAACCAGGGCAGCTCTGGACCCAAAGAAATGGCCGGAGCAGGCGTGGCTGCCACATTACCAGACATGACCAGCAAGGCTGCCCCGCAGCCCTGCCGAGGCACGAACCGCCTGCTCAGCCCCAGGGAGCTCAGGGCCGAGGGGTGCCGGAGCAGGGCTGAGCCGGGCAGCACCCCGCTGGGGTCACTGCTTAGGCAGCGAGGCTCCCTCTGGCCCCGGCACCGATGCCACGTGCTGGGCAACCCGCCTGGGGTACACCAACCTCCACGGCATGGCACGGCACAAGCCTCCACGGGCACCGGGCCAGGCAGCGAGCGCTGCCCATCCTGCCTGCGTTGCAGGTGTGCTCAGAGGGGTGCCTGGGGGGCACAGCCACCTCCGCCTGCGGCTGCTGGGCCAAGGGAAGCCAAGGCCTCGGCAAACACGGGAAGGAAGACCGAGTAAAGGTCTTCCTCAACCTGCTTGGCTTTGCTTTATTCCACTCCTGTTTTTCTAGCTCACGCTCCCTGCCTCCGAGCAGCCTCCTGCAAGGTGGCAGGAAATCTAATCAGGTCACAAGTCTGCAGCGGAGCACCATTACCCCTTGCTGATCACGGAGCAGCGTGCTGGTCCCCCCAGGAGATGAGCAAAGCCTGCACCGGCACAGGGTCTCCCCCGGATGTCCATATTTACTGACTAATATTTCTCCCCAGAGGTCTTAAGTTGCAGACACACAGCATCAAATCCAAGGGTGGCTGGGGGTCATCTTCCTCCTGCTTTTCTCTCCAATTTCTTCCTTAAGAGCCAGGGGAAGGAGAGCCGTCCCGTGCAGCAGGTACAGCAAAGCTGCCGTGGCACAGAGCGCTTCCAGGCGGAGGAAAGCACCCGAAGTGCAGCGCATTGCAGAGCCCTCCTTCTCCTTCAGTGACCTACAAAGCTACAAATTGGGCCGCGCTCTTTTTAGCTTCACTGGGGATGTAAAGAAAAGGAGGACTTACTCTTCTGAAAGTAGCCAGCCAACCCACCCTGCACACCCAGGAGCCTCAGACCTTCCTGTCCCCATGCCTTCAGGGCTCCTGGATGAGCCCAGCCCAACCCGGAGCATCCCCGAGTCCTCACCCGGGGACGCCGGCCTGCCGGGGAGCTTTCCTTGCCCTCGCAGGCCAGCTGAGCCCACGGCTTTTCTACTGTAACAGATCTCCTCCCATTACCGCTCAGAGGCTGCCTTCCCATAACGTAACACCTTTCAACACTCCCTGGCCTTACTCCCCCCGTCATCAAAGCAGCTGTTGAGAAAACTCAGGAGAGGAGGAGACCAAGAGGCAATCCCACCCACGTGCTCCGCCAGCCGCTCTGGAAACACCCGCCAGATGAAGCAACAGCCCCGGATTGAGCCGGCAGTTAATCCTGCCACCTTGACCAGCAGGAAAAGGCAGCCACGAGGGCGACGGCCAGCGGACCTCAGAGCCACGCAGGTACTGGCATGAAGGAAGCTGCAGGGGCTGCAAAGCTGTTCTGCTCATACTTGGCAGACTCAGTCACTCTTAATGCAATATTCTGCTTATTAAGAGAGATCCGTAAAGAGCAAGATGTTGGCTGTGTGCCCTTCCCAGGAGGAAAAGAAAGCCTGTTGCTTTTAAGCCTCTTAGAAGCCGTTTCTCCTGTGCTTTCCTTTATCTTAATGCGAGAAGCACAAAACCTGCCCCAGCCCATTTCCGCCAGAGAGCTCCGTGGGGAGCTGGAGGGCACAAGGCTTCCCCTCCGTGCTGGGCCGGGAGCTACCCCAGAACATCACTCGCCGCCCCGGCACGGACGACCCGGCAAATATTCCCTCTCAAAAGCAACGTGGCCAACGCAAAGCAACCCAGATCTTCCCCCTCGTATGGCAGCACGGAGAGGCAACCTTGCTCTCAGGAGCTAGCTAGCAGCACCCCTGCGAAGAGGCAGAGTTTCCCTGAGCAGCACCCACCCACCCAGCGCAGGAGAGAGGGGAGCCTGGAGCGTGCCCCACCGGGAGGGCCCTTCTGGCCTGAAGCAGGTTGACGGTAGCTGGGCACAGGCAGGTGAGCTGGGAAGATCCAGCCGCTAAACAAGAACACAGCAGTATTCTGCATCAAAACACGATCCCCAGAAGCACGTAACAAGGACTCTTGCTGCAGGTCATTGCTGGTTTTACCCACCAGCTTTCGGCAAAGCCAACTTACTTTGCTCCCTCTGTCTTGCAAAAGAGAAACAAGACTTCTCCTGCCCACGGCACCGCCACAGAGAGACGGACTTGGGAGTCCGGCGGCAGCTCGCAGCAGAGACTTCACGGCACGCAGAGCCTGGCGTGCCCTTCCCAGGGAGGACGCCCCTGGCAGGCCGTGCTTTGCCCCAGGGTCTCCAGCCAGCCACGCCAGCAAGACGAGCCATTCTGCCAGCATTCTACAAAGCTGTCCCACGTTAACCATTCTGGTTTATTAAAGCTGAACCACCAGTGCATTTCTGTGTCATGAAAACAGCTTAGATCAAACTATCTGTTCTCACATGGGAAGAAACGTTCCCAAAGCCTGCGGAAATTGCATCCACACTAGGGCTTACTGGAATAACCACGCTCATAGACCAGCTGAACACCCAGGAAAAAAATAAGAGCTTGACAAAAAATTTAGGCTAAGTTTACCAGGCTTAAGTTCAAGATCTGATGGAATCACCAATGTCTAGTGCAGGTCCTTTGGGAGCAAGGACCCATCGCAGGATCATAAGGCTCAGAAGGAGTCGGTTACCAGTACAGGGATGGACAGAGGAGATGCTATTTCCAGCCAGAAATGCAGATTAGTTCTTCTTAACTGGAAGAACAGCTTTTACTGGCTCCTCTACTTTAAACTAACAACAGGAAGATGAACCCACCACGCCATTGTTGCAAACACTGCTCCTGTTAAACGCAGGAGACAAGCAAAGAGCCCCCATGGGCTGGCAGTGTGACAAACCAAGCAGAACAAGGATCAGAGGACAGAAGGGACCTGCTGCATCAGCCCATCCCTCTTTCCC